GCTGCTCCGGGGTGACAGGTTCTAAAAGGAAGCGGAGAACTAGGGTACCTGAGAAACCAAATTATCCGTTAAATTTATGGAGTATCATGAAAAATTGTATTGGTAAAGATTTATCAAAAATTCCTATGCCCGTCAATTTTTCGGAGCCGCTTAGTATGCTTCAACGGCTTACAGAAGATTATGAATACGCAGATATTTTAGATAGGTACGTTTAGTTCTATACGTTATTCGATCGTCATGTATGTAATTTCATTGGGGGGAAAAAAGAATTGTATTTGGTTCGATTTAAAACAGGGCAGCAGAATGTACAGATAGCTTTGAGCAAATGGCTTATGTGGCTGCATTTACCATATCCAGCTATTCCACAACCGCTTCCAGAACTGGCAAACCTTTCAATCCTTTATTAGGCGAAACGTATGAATGCGATCGATGCGACGATTTAGGATGGCGAGCAATTTCAGAGCAAGTATCTCATCATCCACCAATGTTGGCGCAGCACTGCGAGGGCCGAAAGTGGCGTTGTTGGCAAGAATTTACGATGGCATCCAAATTTCGTGGAAAATATCTTCAAGTATGTTCCACAAGTTGCAATATTTTATTTTTTAATAGACTTATGATTCCTTGACGCTACCGTAACGTAGCAAATCAACAACGCGGAAGACATACACGACCATTTGTATGTCACTGTAGGTAATACCATTAGGAACTGCTCACCTTGAAATGGAGGGTGGAATGCAACATTACACGTGGCGAAAAGTCACTACCACTGTACACAATATTATAGTAGGAAAATTATGGGTTGATCAAAGTGGTGATACAGACATTGTGAATCATAAAGAAGGTATAAAGTGCCATTTGAAGTATACGCCGTATTCGTACTTCTCGAGGGACAGTCAACGTAAAGTAAAAGGAGTAGTCATGAATTCGAATAACGAAGTAAAGTGGGTAGTACAAGGTACATGGGACACAAAGATAGAAATTGCACCCGTGATTAGTACGTCTGGTATACAAGACAATCAAGTATATAAAACAGGGCCTTATATACTCGCTTGGAAGCGTCGTATGCCGCCGTAAGCATTTATTCAAATAACGGTTTTATATTTTATTAAATCGTGGTATTAACGTTGAAATTGCGCGTGTCCATTTTTTACAGTGAAAACTCTGATAAGTATTACAATTTCACGGAACTAGCGTGTCAACTTAACGAGCCCGAAGAGGGCGTAGCTCCTACAGATTCTCGATTTAGGCCTGATCAAAGATTAATGGAGAACGGCCATTGGGATGAAGCAAATGTAGAAAAGCTTCGATTAGAGGAGAAACAGAGAGCTGTTCGACGTGCACGAGAACACGAAGCTGAGAAAGCAGCTTCTCAAGGTAGTATTAAATACTTTTTATAATGGTTAGAAAAAAAATGGCTTAGCATAGTTACATGATATATTTTGATGTTTCAAGAAAAAAAAAATCATTACTAAAATTTTCAATTAATACCAGGTTTACCATACGAAACTTACGAACCGTTATGGTTCAAAAAAGAGCAGGACCCATACACAGATAGTGTATGCTACGTATATGGTGGCGAATATTGGGAGTGTAAAAGTAAAGGTGATTGGTCGCGGTGCCCAAGCATATTTTAGCTTATTATATAATCGTATCGATTAATAATGTGACCGCCAATATACATTGCAGAAATGTTTGGATTCATTTAAAGTGAAGATAGTCGATATTAGAAATCACTTTCGTGGAGATCATTGCTTCTGAGAAATGCCGACGTGATAGTGGGGTTGTTAAGGGACATTGTTTAGTCAGTACTTCTTCCAAATGAACTGGTCAAAGTTGGCATTTTGACACATAAGACGAGTGTTTTGTAGTATATCATTGCCCTCGTTGTTCTACACATCCTTCTGTCTATATTACCACTGCATCCCTCTCATTCGCCTCACTTTTTCTAAACAACCAGAACATTTACTGTATTCAGTCCACATGGCCCAACTAATGCTTTTGCATACAATTTTTTTATAGACTTAAAAATCTTCTGTACATGTCATTAGATTCTGCCGCCAGGCTGAACATATTTAATAATATATTCACAAAGAAATCCAGATACTATTAATAAGCAAATAAGTTGCAAGAGATTTTGTTACTTCGGTTTAAAATGAGATAGCAATAAGATCAATGGTTTTTACGACAAAAGCATCAGTGGCGATCAAAGCCACAATTAACTGGAAGTTCAAGTCAATCGCGAGAATCCACTTAATGCTAATGCAGTATTCATAATTTGTTTCTAAATGAATTTAGATGTAACCGAATGTTTTTTTTTTTTTTTTTATATATATATATATATAGAAACGGTACTGACTGTAAGTCCTAACGAGATCGATCGTAAACACCAATTTTGAAAAATTGCCATAGTTATCCGATACAATGGTTATTACGAATCCATCGCGGAAAGTACTTACATAGACTATTAAAAACGTATTTTCGATGCTTAACGCCATGTTGGGGATATTTAAATGAATTGAACAAAACGTAGAAAATTTTTTTAATAGTATTGCTGAGTAAGTCAAAAAAAAAAAGAGATAAGGAATAATCGCGTTGTATGTGTCTAAAAGCCTTACTGAATTATTTTAAAATAGATACAGTAGGCGACGCGTTTTTTCATATTGGTCATTTTACACGTGTGTTGCGGCCAGACTGTTCATTCGACTGCCACGTCTTAGCCTTTACGCGAAAAACAAAATTGGATAAGAGGCGGCATTCGTTACGTTGATGCGACAATCTGTAACCGCTATGAAGAAATGTTCCTGCGAGTAAAAGCGTTTGTAACAACGAGGAGAGTTCGGTGTGTTGAGGCATTACGTTTCAACGTACTCAATGATCCATACGAAAGTCGTATGTACTGTAGCGTGCAAATATAAGAAAGAAAAAAAAAAAAAAGAAATGGTAACGGGTACGCTTCCAAATTTCTGCGATTTTCCGTGCAGACGTAGACACTGAATGTTCCACAAATTTAGGCTGGTTGCCTATGCTAGCCTAATTACTAATACACTCCGTCGAGCTAATGTTACAAAGTATAATCGATGTTAATGCAAGAAAGTGTAAAGAGAATTATAAAAGTCAGACCGGAGGGCTCATAAGTTGTAATAAGTTGTTCTTTTTTTAAGGACTCTCAAGAACTCGAAGCAAAACAGTCATTACAAATAAAATCCTTTTCCAAACTGCAGTATGTAGACACGCACACATTCATACACAGGTACAAAGCGCGCAATTTAGCGCGTATTATTTGCGTACGTACGTATGTATGTATGTATGTATGTATGCATCCATGCATGCATGTATGTATGTCCGTATATGTACATATGATAATGAATAAAACCCATTGTATATCCCTCTTATGAGCACATCGTACAGTTGTTCCGTTCATAATGTTTGTATATTGACAATTATATAATTCCAGTCTGTATTGGACGATATCGAACGGAACACCTAGCTTGCAACTAATATTTACAATAATTGTTACGATTAAGTATTTGGCTGTATTATAATTTTAATAGTTGATAATCGGATATATCTGTATACATATAAATACAAATTAATTATAAAAATAAATAATTGAAAGAAACTACGATAAGACAGATAGAACAGACGTTTGGATTATATAGTGCTTGTACATTAGCTATTCGTGTGGAACGATAAAATACAAATGCTTCGCTACAAAAAAAAAAAAAGAACGAAAATATCTTTGTAGCATTCACATGATTGCCTTTCGGCATCTCCTATGTAACACCCGTTGGTCGCACAAATGGTGCAATTATTTATACGATAAATAACCGTAGCCTTTTGTTCCATCGAACAAATTGTATTGATTTATTGTAACAAATTAAAAAATCGATCTTGAACGGGTAACGTTTATCGTGAAATATTTACTGCTTCCTACCGATCGATCCATTTATCGTTGAAAAACTTAAATCAATATTTCGTACAATACGAAATTAATAATAAGCTTACAATGCTTCTTTAGTTCGATTTTTGTATTACGCGCGCAAAGAGTCCAAGCCTGAACGATTCTCATTCCTTCTACAATCCTCGACGAATAAAATAAACGTCCAATTCGTATGAAAATTCTCATTGTTAAAAGTTCTTTAAGCCCGAGTATCGGTGAAATATTTTATCCTAACGAATTATTTTTTTTAACGTTCCTCCGTGTTTGGTTCCATGTTTCTCGTTTCTAATTCCATGTTCCGGCAAGCTACATATCGCGCGTCATCGATTTTATGACGTACGAGCGAAATATATTCTAGCATTCGTTATTTATCGTAATCAACGACACAACAAGGCGATAGATACGCTATTTTTGTTGCCACACTTTTCCTAGACACGTCCAAACCCAACATTGTTAGAAATATTATTTCAAACAACGTGTTACATTATTTTCCAGTTATTTGTTTCTGATGCACAATTATCGTATTTCGTTTCAAGAGATATTTTTGAAAATGATGAAAGTATGTTTGATATAACGAAGCAATCGATGAATAATTTAACGTAAATATTTTATTTACATAGCGATGTCCTCAAATTAAAGTTCGATGTGTCGAAACATGTTTACGTCAACCGTTGCTTTCTTAAATCGTCATACAAGTTTTTGCTATCATACATTTTTTATGGCAACAAGTTAAAAACTAATCGTAACAAAAAGTAATTAGGATCATTAGTTGCAAAACTGAGATGAATTTCAAATATTTTTCATCGGCGTTCGAAGTAATAAAATGATACTTGTGTTCCTTGCTTGAAACCATCGGTGTGTTTAAATAAACCAACGTTTCGTTCGATTTCGAATAACATTTATCGCGTAACGAAAGATCGAAACGTTATCTCTTATTTAAATTTCAAATGAAGATTTGGTCAGGTCTGTTACCGGATATTCGGGAAATTTAACCGACATGCGCGTGGCGTCGGTAACGACGAATGACGTCACGCGTAGTAATACACACCGGGAGCGCATGGCGAGTGGAGTGTCTGCAGAGGCTGCGCGAGCTGGGAACTGCTTTCGATTGTTGGCGGGCGCCGCCATCTTGGTCAGTGAGCTTGCGAGTGGCTGTACGACGAGGTGTACGTATTTCAGTGAAACGAGTATTTCGTGCGATTTCCCTGAAACCCTTCGTCTACCCGTGAAATCCACGAACATCCAAGATGTCGGAACGGGAGGACAACGTTTACAAAGCGAAATTGGCGGAGCAAGCGGAGCGCTATGATGGTGAGTGGATATTTTCCGGGAAAGGACCCGGCCTGCGCCAAAATGAAATCCACGAAATCGGACAGACAGAGGAGCACGGCCACAAAGAGAAAGGAGGTAGCACCGTCCTCGTGGATCGCGATCCTCTCGAGTTGACGATTTCGTTGGATAGAATCGCGAACTCCTTTGAGAACCGAGAACCTTAAAACTGCGATCGGGTCTCATTGGATCTGTCAAAAGTCGAGGAAACGTCAAATACGTGTAATCCGCACAGTGGTGTGGCCAGGTCGCCGGTTCGTGACCGGTGTTTCTTTATCGAAAGGGTGGGTTTGTTCTGGGCTTCTGTCACCGCTCTGGCGGATCTTGTCATGTTTCGCGAGCTCTCGATACCCGTACGAAAATACTGGTCGCGTAGCCATGGAAAACGATTTGGTCATTTTTGTGCATTACGTTGTTTCATCGAAAGCTGGGCAACGCCGTTGCTAGGCGTGCTGTTCGGTACTTTAGGGGGCACCTCGGCAGATAATCGGACAAGTCGGTCCTTCACCGACGCGTGTGACGCATAGACACGGCACGATACTTACCAATCGCTGCCGGGTTACTCCTTAGACACGTAGTAACGCGTGCTCTGCTCGTGGCATTTGGCCTTGAAAGCAGAGAGAAATCACTTGGCCGATCGACCGACCGAACTATCCAGTCGACGAATAACGCTTTCGGTTTATATCGTCTTGGATTTTACCCGATCATCCTATGCCCGGTGTCTCGTGCTTTCGCAGGCGTTTTCCTCGTTCATTACGCAATACGTGTCAATGTAATTTCGGCTGTAATAATTTTTACTCGATCCTGGCGAAAGCAGTTCGTAGTGGGGATTCGACGCTGTAGAAGGGGAAACATTAAAATCTCATCGTTTCTCGCATCTCGCTCTTCGCGATTCTCGGTAGAAATATTTTACGCAGCAGCGTGTATTTCGTTTCACGTACTCGTATTTAGCTCGCGAATGAAACGTAAACGCTTGACATTTGCAAGAGCGAAATGTACCTCGTGCGTAAGTTTCCTGTAACGACGTTTAATGCCTCGTATTTCTCTCTCTCTCTCTCCCTCGCTCTCTCTCTCTCTCTCTCTCTCTCTCTCTCTCTTTCGCTCCTTCTTTCTCGCTCTCGTAATGTAGTCTGGCCCGTAGAATACGCTCTACGTTCGAGCGAGATTCACCGCTCTCGGATCGTAATATTTTTTCGAAAGCTTCTCGACAAGTTCACGAGCTCTCGTTTTGATTTATTAACCTGCCTGTCGGCTGGCAAAGATAGACAAACGATGTCTCCTCAAGATACCTGAAAGAAAAAAAAAAAAAAACAGTTTTACGCTACATTATGCTAGGAGCGGCCAGAAATCGCGTTTTACGCTCCCGAGGATCGAAGAAGACTAACCAATGAAGCAGAATAAAGCGGGCAAAGAGAGACCGACGACTAGCATTCATCCCAAGGAGCCGCTTTTCATAATTTCGTCGCCGCGTGGGCATGTTAATCGAGAGGCACGCGTATTAAAGCGTGGAAATAACGTGCATGCACGATCCTCTTGGTGAAAACGACCGCCGAGCGTGAAGAATGACAGGGCGGAAGGGAGAGGAAGCGATGCGACTCTCCCGGGATGACGAGACAAGGAAGGGCGGAGAGGAAATTTGAGGGTTGCGAGAGAGAAAGAGGGATCACGAACGGGAGGGTGAGCACGGTAAGGGGTGAGAGACAGAGGGAAGATGGAGGGGCAGAAGAGGGGCTATAGCAGAAGGAAAGTATTGATCTGTGCTCGCTATATCCTACGTTTCTGTACACCTCCGTCACGGGTATACCACGTTCGCCGTAATTCTCGCCCGGAACCACCATGAACTTGAGTCTGATCTCGTAAATACCATCGTGATGCTTCCGTTTACTTTAGCATAACGATCATATAAAAGAGGATAAGTATTAATCCCCCGTGATCCAAGTGTTTATGCACCGGATACCCAAGGAATTATGTTACCGGTCTTCAACAAGCTCGCGTTCCTTCAGCTATAGAGTAAATTCATTATTTTATAACGTATTTTTTTTTGTTCCAAGGCGTCGGATGCCGTGGAGGACACCGATATCGGCCAATAGTCTTTCCATTCAGGTCGCGTCGGTCACCAGTGACCGACATTTTGACACACATAAACATTAATACTTGTAAATTTATGTATAACGTTAATGTCATTAGGAATACTGTAAAACAATTAGTACGCCATTTAAGTATTGAATGTATCTATTTGCAGAAACGTTGAGGATAACCCAGAACGCCCCCAGGGGTGTTCGACGCGAATGGAAAGGCACGAAAAATTCCCTGTAAAACGCTTTAATCGAGGAGCAGTTTATATTTTATAGTAATTTCTATTTCAAATTTGAATTTCTTGATTCTGATTGTCAAGGTAAATTCTTTGAAAGGATGTAAAGTGATTTTGAAGAGCAGATGAATCTAAAAGGCTGGGATTTCCGGACCTAAAGGCCGATACTACGACCATTTAATCTGTCTCGTTACTTCACGCCTCCGTAATAACTCTTTTTCACCCGGTTATCGATCTTGTCGTGGGACCCCGGATTTCGACACCGTCCGCAAATAAAACACAAACATTTTCATGGATTCTGCAACGATTCCCTCGAAATTTTCAACCGATTTGTGGCGTGTACGGTATGATTTATTTTCGAAGTTTTACACAAATTGAACGGAACAATTTTTAAACGTGAAAAATATTTTTACAAACTGTCGATCGGATTTTTTGCAGTTCATACGCGTAATGCGACACAGACCGAAACACATGTATCTTGATCGATATCGTTATCCTCAAATGCTGCACACCTATAGATAATAAATACATAATAGTAACCAACTTCCTCGCAAAGTTCAAGGGGCAGCGGGTTAATATATGCCCGTGCGCTCGTCTTTCTCGCACAGAGGCTCTCCACCATCCCAGATGAAACTAATAATATATCCACACAGGGGTAGCTACGTATTAATAATCAATAGGTCATTTCCAATTCATTACTTTATCATGATTTCACATAATATTCTTCGGCAAGTTTGATACTTTTACCCAAATCAGAAGTACACGTACATTTGATAAGCATATTATCCTTCAAACGCATAAATGGTAAAAATTGATGAATCGGAATTCGATTAATTTCATCAGTTTAACGCAAGCGTTGAAATTTTCAAAGAAACTTTAATTTCTTTTGCAATTTCGCATACATTTGTGTACTCGACGTATGCAACTTTAATGGAATGTATGAAGTCGGTATGACGTTGAATACGTCAATGTCAAGTACAGATAATTGTAACCAAGAATAATTAAAGCGATGTACGAATGATAATGTCGTATCGATTTTTACCATGTAATGTCGCAATAAAATGTACAGCTACTTTGGTTAGTTTTAATTATTTCTGTTCGTTCGTTTATACGTTTACTGTATTGTGTTGTCTTTGATTTCGATTGTTTTTCAACTTAATGGCACTGTCATTGACGGCAATGTCCGTCGGCATCATTTGCAGAAATGGTCGAGGCGATGAAGAAGGTCGCTTCGCTGGACCTGGAGTTGACCGTCGAGGAGAGGAATCTCCTTTCTGTCGCATACAAAAACGTAATCGGGGCGAGGAGAGCCTCCTGGAGAATAATCTCCAGCATCGAACAAAAGGAGGAGAACAAGGGCGCCGAAGGGAAACTGGAGATGATCCGTCAGTACCGATCTCAAGTAGAAAAAGAACTCAAAGACATCTGCGCCGATATCCTCGGAGTTTTGGAGAAACATCTGATACCGTGCGCGTCCACCGGCGAATCTAGAGTCTTCTATTATAAAATGTAAGAAATTTTGCAGATCTCTGTTCAGGAATTATCTGCTTGTAGCTTGGAAACTACACAGTTCTTCCAAATTTGTCCAAAGACTCGTTTTAATCTTACACTGCTCAAAGTAATTAGATAACATTGTTAGTTGCAGGCTCCAGTTATATCAGCATAAATTAAATGGCTGTGATATAAGGGATAGTTCTTAGTTTGGATCAATGAACGTTTATACAATGACAGTTTGTGGTATTATGTTGTTAGGGTTCATTACTTTAAAAGCTTTCGCATTCTCTACAAGCTGTATATTAAAATCAAAATTATCAAGACCGTTTGACTTCTTTTTTTCAAGCAGTAAGCAAATTTCTGCATCGGTAGCGCGATAGCTTAGATTAAAAGGTATCCAGCAACGCGGAAGACCGTTCCGTTTCGGTCACTGGTTTTTGAGGTATTGTTTTTTAAAACTTCCCGCCGTCTGGTTCGATACTTCCGCAAGAATAATTACTGCGTTGCGGATGCGATTTATAAATAGCAATCAATTCCGAGAATTAATTCTTATTGTACAGATCATTATATACCGGTGTCATACGTTTTATTCAATTCTTAACTTTAATTTTACGTTGAGAGAACGTTCCAGTAATACTGTGATTCGAGCGAGTAATTTAATGAATTACAAATAAAGTAAGCATTTTATGCGTGTCAGCAGCTCGTTAGATTTAATATTGTAAGAAATATCTGTATTAATTCGGCAAAGCAATATACGATCGTTACTCTGGACAAAAAAAAAATGTTCACAATAGTACATGTTTCGCTCGAATCTGTTTCCGAGTTCCATCCACTTTTGTGTCGGATAAAGGGTATTTGCCTATTTTTAGAGGTGTTGGAAGTGGCTCTCCAGCAACAGTACAGAACCTTGAAATGATTTCTAGTATACTGTGAAATAGCGATGAAAGAGTAGTCATCAAGGTCACACATGATACATTAAGTATTATTTGTAAATGAGCGAAACTAATGCCGAAAGTAATTAGAGCAGTAATTATTTGGTACAGTAATATCTTCTACCGAATGCATAGTTTATGTAGTACGAGATTCGTTAAAAATGTTGTGTAGCTTACAAAGTAACGAGATCTTTTGATTGTAATTGTACCGAACTAGTTTATCAAAGGGAATAATGGAGCATAAAAGTGTTTATATTAACTTTTTGTCATGCTTGTATAATGAGTTCACTTCTGAAGCGGTACCCACATTTTCTGGGACACTGTACAAGTAGAAGACCTTCGTGGCGAGAGGTTGAATCGAGTACCAGGAACAAAGAATAATCTATAGATATTTTACTGAACCGACACGATTACTCCATTTGCGTACACGATACCGGAGATGGGGAAAATTTTATTCCAACAGATAACGAACAAAACTAACTTTGTTTGTAATAAAAACTGTTATCTAGATAAGAATTTTGCCCGTCTCTGTGCAAGACATTCCGATTATTGCGAGCAGTGTAATTTAACGCCACTTTACCATGCAGATATTGTTTTTAAATCCTTGTTATTGTTGCGTTATTGTAGGAAGGGCGATTATCACCGTTACCTGGCCGAATTCGCCATTGGTAACGACAGGAAGGAAGCGGCAGAGAATTCCCTCGTTGCTTACAAAGCAGCCAGCGACACTGCTATGACAGACCTGCCACCGACTCATCCCATCCGCTTAGGATTGGCGCTCAACTTCTCTGTGTTCTATTATGAGATTCTCAATAGCCCCGACAGAGCGTGCCGCCTGGCGAAGGCAGCCTTTGACGACGCGATCGCGGAATTAGACACCTTATCCGAGGAGAGTTACAAGGATTCCACCCTCATCATGCAGCTCCTCAGGGACAACCTTACTCTCTGGACGTCGGATATGCAAGGAGACGGTTAGTATGCTGTCACGGTGGCTTCGTGTTCGCGGAAAAAAGTTTCAGAAGCTTTTGAAACGCCTCTTCGCTATGTCGTGGAAGCGCCATCGTCACGATCAATAATATGTATCGCGGCAACGCGATAAAATCTTCCTGTTGTATCAGATTTTTTCATAGAAACACACAGTTTCATCGTTTGAAAAGCTTTATGTTTGCGCCGGACAACACGGTGCAATTACTATTACCGTTTCGTTTTAAATGGCACTTTCGACGTCACGTGTTTCCGGACGAAGAATCATTACTTTGTAATTTAGAGTTCGACGCTGATCGTGAAAATGAGGCTGCGGCCGTTTCCACCAATGCTTGAACACAGGCACATCCTTTTCAATACGTCCTTGCACCATATAGTCACCTGGTGAGCAAACTCAATCCTTCCTTGCGCCTTAAACTATCAATACCTTTGAACATCAGGCAACGTGTATCTCTGTTTACTTTTTCTAAGCCCATGATTCGCCACGTGCAGCGAAGATGAAATTTGTATGATTATTATTTCTACTGCCATTTCGTACGGTTTCGATCGTTCGTACGCCGATAAAAATGTCCTTCGTTAATACGATGCGTTTTTTGTTGTACAGGGGAGGGCGAACAGAAGGAGCAGTTGCAAGATGTGGAAGATCAGGACGTATCGTAACTCTAACTGTAGTGAGTGTTACATTGCGCATATAAAACTGAGACACAAGAAAACAAAAAAACTCTTAATAACTTGTAAGCAAAAGAAAACAATTCAGCAGGTGGCAGTTCGGGGTGGGAAGGGGAGATCTTTAGCGATTGCGTGACCCTAAGCACGCACGTACGGTTACTCCAAACAAAAAAAAAGAATCATTCGATAACACGCATTGAGTTACGGAGCACGCAGAAAGTAACAAGCAAAGGACACGCACCCTGCGGTAATAGAGAGACTGCAAAAAAAAGCATTTAGAGAGGCACTATTCTTTGCCTTCTTCGCGTATCGAGAGGAAAAATGCTGTCTTTACACTTGTGCATGCCCAATCGAAAAATTACGATGTCGAGAACGTGTGGCGAATGGACGCCGACCGTCGGCGTATATGTCACCCATTATAAACAGAAAAAAACCATAAAAAAGACAAAAAAAAAAAACAAAAGTATGCGCCAGTTCGTCGGGACCGATTCTCTCACTTTTATCGGTTTCAGCGAGTGAGAACGAATTAACGATGTCCCATATGTTTCACCAAATAGCGAAACATGTTGATGCTCGACGTCGATCGAAGTGCATTATTGTGTTCGTTTGTTTACCCTCCTAAATCAATCTCCTCCTCGTCCTCTTCCCCGCTTTTTTACTGCGCGCATGATCGCTCTCGCATACTATAATAAATAACGATGTTAATTGTATGCGTGTAAATCGAGTGTAAATCATCTGTTTGTCCAAGGATAAACGCGTCTCCTCAGGTCGAAGGGAAGTGGTTGCCCGCCTCGGCTAAACAGCCAGGACTGCCAACCACGCGTCTTCGTCTCTGCTTTCTGTATAAGATATTACGGATGTACTTCCGAACGAAGTCCAGTTCAAGTAATTTCATACATAGTTCGAGCATGAGTTTTCGTGTAGTGTCGTTAAAAGAATTTATTAAGAAAATGCGCTTACGCGAAAGCGTCGTACTTAATGCAATAACATCAGTATGGCCCGAGAAAGAACGAAAGAAAGAGAAAAAGAGAGAGAGAGAGAGAGAGAGTATGGCTTTCGCGAATGAAATTTTGCGTTAAAATGAATATTCGAAACAAGCGAGAAAATAATACCGTCTTCGACACGTCGGACGTTCTTTACACTCGACTCTCTACACTCCTCCGTGACGAGAGTGGGTGTTTTGTTGTTTTATTTTTTTTTTTTTTTTTTTTTTGGATCGACGAGAAGCATGAAAAGGAAAAAACATTGTGGTAGACGAGCTTTTTTTTAACGAAAAAAAAAAAAAAATAACAAATTACGTTTCACGGAATATGAAAAGGAAACAAGTAGCTGTCTAGCTAGTCTGTAATTGTGGTTGTACTTTTTCATACGCCCCTCATTGTGTAAAACTATAAACGATCGCTGTGGTATAACGAATTACAGAATAAACGATTGTATCCCGACTTTATTCACCCGCGCTCACTTTCGCTATCACTCTCCTCGATTCCACTGTATCTTGGTTGATATCTGCCCGTGGCGTCCGTTCACCTTTTTATCGATGAACTGTTCCGTCGACTTCCGTTTCTAAACATTCCAGCGACTTTAGACGATTCGTTCGTTAGTCTCACGCGAAATTCGTTTGCGCATGTTAACGAGGTAAGCTTAGCGATACGGCATCGACCATTTTATTTATTCGTTTGAGTAAATAGTGGCGGTCAGAAATTTCTGGCATCGACTTCGTCACGAACCATAGATGTAGTTTCATGAAATTAATGTGCCCGCAATGGCCGAGATTTGTAGAATGTTTCTAAGCGCGAAAAACTACTGTTCTTGCTAAGAGTTTGGGCGTAGAAAAAAAGAGTTGTAAAATTACATTTCCACATTAAAACGGTATCGCGTTTCTGACCGTCGCTGTATACCGGTAAAACTGCGAATCTAGTTGGACTAGCACGGTGTTCTTGCAATGGCGATGAGGATAATCGTGATCCGTGTAAGCGTGCAGCAAAAAAGCGAGGTGTATTAACGTAAAAAGGCGAAGGGAACGCGCAGAATCGAGCTCTGCCTAGAAATCGGTGTGCATTGTGCCCCTGTATTTAGGTATTAATAACGATAAAAATTGATAATCATGTTATAAAGTACGTTACAAAGAATAACTCAAAGTAATATCAACGGCACCGTAAGTAAGTATATGCGAATAATTATAAGAGCGTAAATTAGGGTATCGTGGAAAAAACCGATCGACAAGAATCGTTTAAGCGATATTGGAGAGAACAGTTTGAAGTACAGTTTGTATCGTCGAAGAGAGTTCGAGGCAATTAAAATCGCGTGGAAGATTGATACGAAGGTAATGAAACTGTGTGTAGAAGGATGAAAGAACAGTGGGGGAAAGCATAGGGAGAAACCGGGAACCATCGGCTAAGAGTTAATATGAGTTTACGGATACGTGTAACGTGCATTAAACGCCACGTGTACCAGCGACAAGTCTTGGAAAATTTAGGTACAATAAAAACTTGTCAGTGGCGTGGTGAATTCCAAACGACGATAAACTGTGAGATACCTCATCCAATTACTTGCTTACACGATGGATTAAAAACAAGATGAAGTAGCCCAACGCGATAACATTATTGTCGTATATGATATAGCGTGACTCATAAACAATGAAAATGATAAAAACGTAGAGTGTTTCCCGGCTAAAGTAAAATCGTAGGTAGTCATCGACATCTGAGTTGCCCGTAGGCGTTATTAAAGAAGAATAGAACGATCAGTGTATCGATTGAGACCGCTTTTATCCTTTATCCAGTATCGTTGTGCGTGCTTAGCCGATTTTTATAAAGACACATCTATTATTCCATCTATTACTAGATGTACTACTTGCCTCTCTTGTCTCTCTGTATTATAATATTAGTTGTATCTGTAATTATCTTCGGATCATTCCATCTTGTCGCTAACCCAATTCACGAGCGAATAATTAGACACGGATATCGAAATTTATCGTCATTTGGAGGAGGCTAAATCTGTCTTTTTTTGGATTCGCGATGCGTTTTCACGCTCTGTTCTATTACAATCAATGCGATTACACCGGATACGACCTTTTTCTGTAAAACCACACACGTGAAAGCTACAAATAAAGTAATTACAACTCTCTATTCGTTTCTTCGAATCTTTATTATTGTTAAATATTTTATTAAATACTGGTACATTAATCATGAAATTAAAATTAAACGTACAGGGCGTTTTCTTTGTATCGCAATGTTGTGTACAGAGTGAGTCACCCGACATTATATTTTAAAAAACCTGTCGATACTACGAACTGCATCGAACGAAACGATATCTTCTTACTGTGTGTTGTGATATACATCAGAATAAGTTTAACAGTGTGTATCAAGTAACAATTCTAACGTGTGTTTCCAATAGAATCATAATTTAATGTAAATTGAAATAAAAACAATGCCAACAACAAGTCAATACATGCATTATTACAGCCTAGACAATATCAGTCTATCGAAGTCAGTCTGCAAAATACATTTTTTTTTCTTGTTACACACGAATTATAATTCCATGGAATACGTTCGTTAGAATTGCCACATCATGCGTACTGTTAAATTTCGAGTGTCACTCTATCATGCAGAAAGTAGCGATTCTTTGGAAAAATATACTGCTCGGAATAATCAGAGGCTCATTTACTCGCGTGCTTTTATTGTTCAGTAATACACATGCTATAAAAGTTAATCCAGTAGAAATATTACTACAATAAATACACAGTATTTCATCCATTCTTGACAACCCGTTTCATTCTATCAGAAATGTCCAGAATCCTCTAATTACTTTGAACGGTGTATTTTAAGTTGTTTATATATTAGGTGATCCAGTCTGTACATGTCGTGTAACGTCAATCGATTATAAAAAAAATACTATCCTTATTCGCTAAAATTGCACCATTTGTCGTCGTTCCGTCAGTTGCTTAAAATTATTTTACAGCGTGATTACGCAATCATGGATTGCGAATTGCTATCTTTCGTGTCGGCATTCTGCGGGTATTTATCTTTCGCGATAATGGTGTCGCGAAAGTTCGACACGCCCGATAACAGACGTCTTGGTCTACGCCTACCGAGATCCACCTGTTTCAGGATTCGGTTCAACGAGTTGTCCGGTCCCGTCATGATCGGGGACAGGCTGAGACTCGGCGCAGTTCGCGATTTCATCATGCGAGCACTCCTCGGAGATCTCATCATTTGGTCGGTCGTTCTGCGCCTGGCAGACTTTAATTTTACGCTACGTAGCATGTCCAAGGAAACCACCGGTCCCTTTGGTCCTGGTATGGTATTCCTTCTGTTTTCCTAAAAATGAAATTTCCTCCCTTAATCACCTATGTTAACCCTACGCGGATGTTACGCTTTGTTCAAGCATTATGTACAAAGGATGTTTTATTTATATTCATTTGTAAAGGAAGGAATTTAAATCTAGAACTGGAACAAGAATCAATATGTTATTCATAAAATACCCAAGCATGTTTTTACATTACTTTGAACGTTTCAACCGTGATAGATTTTGCTTCTTTCCAATAATATGTATACACATTGTTGCGAAATTATTCTTAACTTGAAAGCGTCCTGTTGTATTCGGTCTTGGAAGAATTCGTTTTGTCGCGTGTTATTTTCCAACCAAGTACGTAAATCACCTTGAGACTTTTAAATAACCCCCCTAAGTGTCCGCCTGAATGGCAACGAAGGCTGAGGAACAATTAACGCGACTGAAAATTGTGTCACTCTTAACAAGCGCTTGGATTTAAAAACATTCTTCTTAACATTTTTCGCGCCTCGACTCGATAACCATACCGTATTAAATATACGAATATCAGCCAACTTGTTCGAATGTTACAGAAATTAATATAAATTTTTTTATTTTATAGAATCGTCGAACTCGTCTAAAATTTTTAGATCAAACTTGAAAAACTCTTCTCCGGACCACTTTCTCGTATTCCAATTAGCAGAGGCGAGAGCGCGACGATTCTTGTAATTTACCTTAACGTTCTCCGGTGCTTTTTTTAGGGTCACCTTCAACAAATCCTCGACTGTTATAGCTGGCCTATTAAATAGCGGCGTCGAGCATTTTCTCGAGGGCGTCCTGACGCTTCTACTGTTCTTTGAGGTGGTAGGTGTGATCGACTGTGCCGGAGACCGAAGCAACGGCGGAGGAGGCGGGGGTGGAGGCGGAGGAGGCGGAGGAGGTGGTGGCAAGGATGACCTTCGAATCGATGGCATTAGTGGAAGAGGTGAAAGTTTTGGAGACCTTGTTTGCGTATCCTTCAACCCTGTTTTTAACTTCATTAATTCCTGCATCAGTTTTTCATTGTTTTCAGCCACCTTCCTGGTTATTTCCTGTAGACCAGCGATCTCTGCAGTCACAGCAGCCAGGGCAGAGGCATTACTGACGCGCACCTGCAATAAAAATCACCTTAAGAACCTTTAATATGCAGCGCCGAAAAGCTTCCAGTACAGTATACAATATTTTGTACATCTTTGCAAGTTATTGGTACTTGCCTACCTGAGAAATCTCCTCAGACATATGATTGATTTTTTCCAAGAAGATATTAATCATCTGTCTGTTTTCTGAACGTAACGTTATCACGCTTTGATCAAGCTCCTCGAATTTCTGCACATGTTTCTTTGAAGAAGATATTAAAGCAGCCTGTTTGAACTTTCTGTAATTCTAAAACAATTAGTCAGTTAGTAGTGTAGGTTCTTTTAGAAGCAAAACGATGTCTACTCACATTTTTAAACAGCTTCATTACTCTCTTCATTAGCCAGACACAGAACCAAATCATTTTAAGTATTGGCTCTTTAAACCATCGAGATCGAGGCAGTTCATAATTTTGCTGTGGATCGGGGCATGTACGTTCTTTACAGAATTCAATCCTTCGTTCAGGCTGTTGATAAAAATGATTTTATTAATTTCTTTTTAAAACAGAAGACTAGTAAAGAATAGTTTTAATAGATTACTTCTTCCAAATTCCTACTGCAACCACCGCAATCCGATACAGCTGGTAACTCTAGCGTAGAAATAGTTGGCGATTCGGATGTACAAGTACTCCAACGCGTCTTCGAGGTCGTTATACTGGAAGAAAAGAAATTTTGAACGTTTTCCTTTTCTGGTAACAAAAGATCGGTAACCGGGGTAGAAACAGTTGGTTTCTCGGATCGATCAGTTTCCTCTTCGTCGTCAAATTTCAATGTCATTCTGCACCTTTTAGCAGGAGGCAATAAACTGCTGCAAGGTGTGGTAGAACGAGTCCTTATTTTTGTCCCATTGTCCCTTGTATCTTTGCATTCTTGCGAATCGTCCATTTTATCGGTTTCCGCGAAAGGACGCTTGTTGACACACTTTTGCAAATTTCTGCCATGTTCTTGTCTGCTAGCTCGTTTCTTAAAACCATTCAATTGCCGGAAATACGAGAAAATCTTCTTGTAGTCGCTCCAGTTGGATGAAAAAGAATTGTCACTAGTGTCTTGCAAAGTGTTCTCGTTGATTATCTCGAATTTTGTACACCCACCCTCATCTTTGATTCGACCAGCACACTTACAAGCAGAGACAGTTGGTTGCAACTCGCCCAAGAATTCGTTGAATCCATGATTTTGGGACTCTACGTCGGAATTAAAGCTGGAAAACTGTATCGGCTCTGATAGGTATCTACATGGCAAGTTGTATGCTGACTTTACAGAATATAGATTAACGTCACAGGTGCAAACACTAAGCCCCGTCTTCGAGAAAGATTTATTATCCTCTCTGGACTCACAATTGTTCATATCCAATTTGATCTCGTTATTCATAGACAGGGTCTTGTCCAATGGGAAACAGTTATTTGCAGGTGCATTGATATTCTGTTCTGGTTGCTCGGCTGTCTGCTTTACCTTGGCCAATTCTACTTCTGTATAAGTCTTAGTGTCATCTTCTTCGTCATTTTGGTCCGAACAATTCAAATCTAATTTCCTTCGACGAAGTCTTTGTACAATCTCTGGGCTCGCATCATCGTAGCATGACAATTCTAACTGTTGCGATTCACAAAGTACCGACTCTGGGGATCGTTGCTCCAAAAGTCGTTCGATCGATTTTCTCTTATTTTTTCTCGAGAGAGTGTTCGTATATCCTACAACATGATTCATTTCGGGCGAATCTAATTCCTGCAAAAGAGTCTCCTGCGATTGATACTGATCCTGCTTCCGTCGAGATCTCTTATAACATTTGCTCTTTGCCATGGTAATCTTCTTTTCATACACTTTAGATTTCACATCCAACGTTTATGTGCACTGAGCTTGTGAATTATGAATAAAGGAGATGTTAACATTTTGAAGAAAAAAAAAATTATTTATAAGATCTTTTCGACAAATAAATTTTCTCACAATGAAAATCACCGGCTACGTGCTCGAACTAGTTACAACACAAATAAAATAAAACCGTTGTATCTGTTGAATACGTAGATGACTTTGTACCGAAGGTTATCGGCTATCGTTTGATTCAAATAATTGTTTGTTTTGAACCAAGTATAGGAGACAGTGTATCAAAGGCGCGTTTAACTGTTGGTAATATTGTATTCCTCGATGTATGTACTTATTTTTATGACTAAATGATTTATGAATTATTAAAACGCCGATAAAAATTATAGGAGAAATAGGAAAGAAAAGAAGAAAAATAATTTTGACTTTTTTCTGGTCAAAGAGCGTTTATTTTTAACTTAACTACATCACATTTTACGTTTCGATATCTATTTTATTTTTTAAAGAGGCCTATGAATGGATATCATTTTTGAAGTAATAAAATTGTTTGTATTTACTTTTTCGATTTTATACGTTTGTTAATTTATTGTTGCTTACAAATGAGTTTTACCTTTACCTATACTGTACATGTTAAACGTTTATCTATTGATTGATAGATATAAAGGATCCACCTTTTCTGAATAATCTCTTTGTTCGCGTACAACGCGAGTATTTTCATAACGAATACTGACAATTTTCGACTCCTCGATTTTGATTGATCACGCCTCTATCTAGTGTCGTAACTTGCAGTATTCACTTCTTATTCACGAAATCTTCTCCCTTTTGAATATTCTTCTTGAGTTCTGGGAGAGCATTCTCCATCAGTTCTTTCTCGTATGCGCTAAGTGCTCCGAGACCGAGATTCTTCTCAACTCCTTGTTTCTGAAATCATAACGAGAACATAATGATTTCTATATAAATACACGATTTGTTGTATAGAAATTTTACTTACGCCCAACAGAACAGGCGTCGAGAAGTATTTAGCTGATGTGACATCGGACCTGACGAAGGTACATTCTATGATACCCTGTTCTCCGTTCAACGCTCTGATCAACGAAATACCGAATCGAGCACCCGCATACGCCATCGAAAGCGTGGCAGAGCCAGTACCAGCCTTTGCCTTAACAACCTCTGTACCAGCTTCCTGGATCCGTCCAGTAAGAGCTTTCAGTTGATCTTGTGGGAAAGAAACTGACGGTTTGCACTGCGAAATCAGGGGAATAATTGTGATACCACTGTGACCTCCGATAACCGGCACCGATGTCTTCTGCGGATCAAGACCCTGAAGAAGAGATTTAAATTAGGTAATTACGCCTGAATCGCCTTTTAAATGCTATAGATCACATTTTAAACCAACTTTTGCTTCGGCGACGAATGTGTTTGATCTAACAATATCTAATGTGGTTACACCAAATACTCTTTTAGGATCATAAACACCAGCTTTTTGCAATACTTCGCTGGCAATAGGCACGGTGCTGTTAACTGGATTGGAGATAATAGCAATGAGTGCCTTTGGAGACACTTCTGCCACAGCTTGAGCAAGATCTCTTACTATGGAAGCGTTTGTATTGAAGAGATCATCTCTAGTCATTCCTGGTTTACGTGGAACACCGGCGGGTATGATGACCACCTAAAAAATACAATAAATTGAAAAAAGATTTTTTTAAGCAAACATATAGTTGACGAACATATAGGAAAAACGTACTTGTGCTCCTTTAACCGAATCCTTCAATTCGTTCGGGCCTGTAAAGGCTTTTACTTTTGCCGCCGTGTCTATGTGCGAGAGATCAGCAGCGACACCTGGCGTGTTCACAATATCGTACAACGATAATTCGGTTATGAGAGGTGATTGTTTCAAGAGCAGCGATAGCGGTTGCCCAATTCCACCGCTGGCGCCCATGACAGCGACCTTGGCATCGCGCTGAAAAGGACAACAATTAATAGATATCATCATTAAAATATCTCCCGATAATTTACAATTCGCGTTAATTTTCTGTCGTGCATTTCGTATCGGTGCTAGTAACGTTAACCTCAACGATAGCATCGAATAAACCTGAATCATCTTATGAACCATACTGTTGTATAATGGTAATTCAATTTCATTCATAGTAATACGATACATTTAATCTTTAATATATACTTAATAAATAATACATAATTTGTATGAGTTTCACGCCGAAGATTTTTACGATTGCATAATGGTACTTCGATTCTTTATCACGAAGCATGGTTCAAATTATTCATTGTAATCGTCTGAATGTCTAACGACCTCGTGTTTTGTATAAAATTTAATCTTTAAAGATGTAATGTATCAATAGAGAACACGATTTACTGATCTAGGTACGTTATACGTTTGAGAAACTCACCGTGGCACTCGTTGATAATCGTTTCGCTCCTTGTTGAGCGATGGTTAACGTGGGCTTCAGAAATCTGGGCAACATGTTTGCAGTGTACTTCGTGAACGAATGTGACTGATTTCAAATTCGAGGAGACGACGTTCGATAACCTTTCAAAGACAACCTTGTGACCTCAATGATATTTCACGCTTGTTCTGTTTCTTTTCGTCCAATCGGCTGCAACGTGCAGCAATACGTATGCAGCCATGCGCGTTTTCGCACGAATAATTTGCGCACGTCTCTAACCGAATGTGAAATTTAACGCGGGAACTTTTAAAGAAACCATTGATCATTAATATCTACCCCTTTTTTCCAAGATAAACGCATAATTTACTTCCATCGTAAAACAAAAGAAATGGCCCATTTATGGACAACTAATCAGTCACTGCATGTACAATTTTGGTTCATTTGTTAGTAAAGAAGAATGTCGTACATTTTTATCCACCTTTTTCCATAATTTAGTTATTTTTACCTTTTTCTATGAACCTTACATGCAAATTTAAACATTATTACGAGTAGACTGAAAATATTAAATTTATTTTTACCCGAAGTAAATAACGCACGTTGTGCACGTTGGTAGTTTGACTCTTGAAGAGCCTGCACAGTTTGTTTACGGTTTACTGTACTCGTTTAGTGAAATTTATGAATAAAATGAGAGAAGTGTGATGGATCGTTAAAAAATGTCGACAGAAGACTACGTTTATAAATGTTAGATACAACAACTGCATTTATTTATCGTAATTCATAATGGCAAGCGGTAAGTGAAGGTTATGTAACCCCTGATCAGTCTAATCGCTCAACTTATTAAACTCATAAGATAGTCTATGAGGTTTGTAACTTACATAGATTTATGAGATTACCTGACATCTTTTAGAAATAGAAACAAGCCTGCTTATAATTGTATTGGATGTAAACCCAATGCAAAGAATTGTAAAGCATGAAACAAGGATATTGACACAATGTTTAGATTCCACTATTGTGTTTGCCAATTCTCATTTAATGCAATCCTCCAATAATCAATTGGCAGTGATAGCATGCCACAGTCATGGAGCAACATTTTTGTATCCGTGTGAAAAGCCATCAGAAATAAGACAAATTGATGGACAATATGAAAAGTTTACCATGGTAGAACGTACTGTTAGGCATCAACTGCAATTAATTATTAATGAGATTTCTATGGATAAACCATTAAACGGAGAAAGCCTGATATCTGGGGCATTGACCATGGCGTTGTGTTATGTTGCAAGATTAGAGAGAGAAAAAGTAGCAGTAGAGAAATTACATTCAAGAATTCTTGTGATCACTGCAAGCAATGATTCTGCGATGCAATACATGAATTACATGAACATATTTTTCACTGCTCAGAAAATGGTTTGTTGTGATTTTGCATGTATGCACTCTGCAAATTTGAAAGAAACACTAACAGATCCTCTCTGAAACATCTAGGGAATAATACTGGATGTATGCAGTTTAGATCAAGAGCTGACTTTGCTTCAACAAGGCTGTGATATAACTGGTGGAAATTATTTAAAAGTTCCACAATTAAGTGGATTGTTACAGTATTTATTAGTAAGAAAAACATAGTCTAATGTTACATCTTTCTCATGCATGGTTTATTTTATCCACGTACAAACATTTGTCTGTTTAGTGGATATTTCTGCCAGATCCAAATATTAGATCAAAATTAGTATTACCACCACCTGTGAAAGTTGATTATCGTGCAGCATGTTTTTGTCATCAAGAACTTATTGATATTGGCTATGTGTGCTCCATATGTTTATCAAGTAAGGGAAGAAATTGAAACTGTCTCAAATATTATTGTGGAAATGTGTACGATGTAATAATGATAATTTCTGTTTTACAGTATTTTGTAAATTTAGTCCAATATGCACTACTTGCCAGTAAGTAAATTAATAATATTATTTAATTACAGTTGTTTATTATGAGAAGGCTGTATATTGATTTGTATTTTCCGTTTCTCATTTTCTTATAGCACGGTGTTTAAAATGCCAGGACCTATGCCTATGAAAATGAAGAAAAAGAAGAAGAATGTAGATATAGTTCACTAAATGTATTTATTATACAATCTTTTAATAGTAAGAACTTTGTACCTAAATACATATATTTTCTCACTATAATAGAAATTACGAGTTTCAATTTATCCGTATAGGTCGATTGGTTTCAGCAAGTAATCGATATTAATCGAATTCTCGCGATTTATTTCTCAGTAAATTCAACTGCATCGTCCGATGATTTATATCTTATTTGAAATAGATATCGCAAGGTTAATGAAATTTCCATTGTTTTATAAGAAATGAAGTTAACTGTTGCCTATCGCGATTATGTATTGTTTATACCTTTGCTATGCAAAATCTACGAAGATCTGTTTGTCACAACACGTATCTTAAGCGCTAAGAATCGTTTTCTCTCTTATGGTATATCATCTTTTAAATATATAATATTCTTTACCTTTTTGAATAGTCTATAATGAACATGTTGTGCAGGCTAAGCCAACAACCTGTAAAGAAGCTATTCAAAGATGGGAAGAGAAAACTGGTTCACCTGCCAGTGAGCAGAAAGAAATTATTTTGTCTTTTCAGTGGCCTCCAATTGAAAAGATGGATAATACTTTAGCAGCACTGGCTGCTGTGGAGTCAGTTATATTTCTATTATAAATTGTTTTTGTTCTTAGTCCATTAAAATTTCAAGTAAAAAAATATTGTATATGTTTAAGAACCATACAAAACGTTTTTATATTTGTTACTTATTAAAACTATTTCTATTTTCAGGAAACTATCGCTTTCGACGAACATGATAGAGAAGATCAGTGGCATCAATTCTTTGAAAAATTTGAGGATTTTATCTTTAGGACGTAACAATATAAAAACATTCTCTGGATTAGAAGCAGTAGGTGAGCATTTAGAAGAATTATGGATATCTTATAATCTAATAGAAAAGATCAAAGGCGTCAACGTTTTAAAAGCGCTCAAAGTGCTTTATATGTCCAATAATTTGGTAAAAGATTGGGCGGAATTTAACCGTTTGCAAGAAATACCCAATCTTGAAGACTTGTTGTTTGTTAATAATCCTATATGTGAAAATATGGATGTGGAGTCTTGGCGTAGTCAAGTCACCCGGCGACTTCCTAAATTAACAAAACTCGACTCTATACCAATCGTGTGAATATTTTTATTATAAATTCAATGATAATATAATTAATTTTTGAAGTACGAAAGTCAAGTAATAATTATTTGGGCACAAGGAAGAGTAATAAAAATTTAAATTTCGATAAAAAATTTTGCAATCGAATTGCAAAATTTGTATTTACAAAATACAGTGTACATTTATAATACATTCTCTGCATTAAAATATAATACATTATATGAACATTACTGACAGGTTCATTTCTAGACGAATGATTAATAGTTTTCAACTTTCATATCATTCAATCCAAGTTCTTCATTCTGTTCAAACGTTCTTTCGTATTTGGTAATCTTTAAACCACTGTCGAGTCCATTGTCAGAAAGACTCTGTATATAGCTATTACCTGCTGGATCATCTAATATCAACGTTACTTTTCGTTTACCTTCCAATACCTCGCTCAATTCGGATATTAAAGTTTCCATTCTCTTAACAGTTTCGGGAAAAGTACTGTCGCCAGTAAAGGCCGTGGACGTTGACAATTGATCTTTAATCGCCATTAAAATGCCTTCTATGGTAGTAAATCGTCCACCCAAAGTAGCAGGACCAATTTCTAATTCCAATTCAGGTACTTGCATATAACAAGTTTCGGATTTCAGTAAATCGCGACTGAAGTCCTCTTTTCCAACAATGGTAACTTCGATCTTTACTCCTTCCGGTTCGATGCCTCCGCCGCTTTTAACTTCATTTGTTTTGTGACCACATATTTCGCAAACTGTTGCCATAATTACTACTTCTTTGAAGTATGGAATATCTATGCATTAAACTAAGGACAAACAATATCTCCCAACATTCAATTATCAAAGGCAAAATAAAAGAAATATTTCAAATAAAATATTGCAAGCTTTTACTATAGCAAAGGATACTGGTCATTTTCATGTTAGTTTCACATGGACAATTACATTCCGGGCAATTTGTTGGGAAAGAAAGAACTTCACCCTCAATTTCCTCCAATGGGTATTCTCCTTCTTGTATAGGTTTCAATAAAACATTTGAATCTTCAGAATAAATTCCAAGAATATGATCTTGTTCAGTGGTTCTCTTAAATCTTGTTACAGTACATCCTTGATCTTTCAATGGAGCATTTGGATTTTCTACATGAATTTCTCCTGATATGTCCTCAAATATTATAGTGAAAGATTCATTCAAAGATTTAAGGTTTCTTAATTTCTCAAGGAACCGATCAATTTGAGCAGCAGAACTTGGGTATTTTTCCCTTCTTTCCGGTTGGTCTTGTTCCAAATCATTAATAGTTCTTTCTATTATACCTTCAATCGTTGTTATTTCTCCTTTCTGTGATCTAGAAGGAATTTCAAAGTCCAAAGATGGTATTTGTACTCTGGTGTAATCAGATTTAATGACTTGGCGATTCAAATCTCTGGGAATTGTAATTTGTAATGTTATCCTAATTCCTTTGTCAGCAATTTTTCCACTATTTTGTATTTCATTATTTTGATAGCCACAATGGTCACAATCAAAGGACATTACCACAATATCTTTGTAATGTGGAATCTTTGTTAGTAGTAACCTAGTGATACCCTGTATTTACAAAATAACATATTATGAAACATCAAACAAGACGTGTTAGAAGTTTTGGTACATTACATTTTTTCCACAATTCACGCAAAGACTTTCTATTTCCGTTGCCTCTGGTTCGGGATCGTCTGCCGTTAGATTACGAAATATTGGTTTCGCCGTTTCTTCCGATACATGTTCTTGATTCTCTGCCATTTTTAGGTCATATAGATTTTATACTCTCAATTGGTGCTGGAAATCTGTTTTCAATAAGGTCAAATTTAAATATTGATCCGTTTTTATCCATACTTGATGTTTTTGTACTATACGAATTTGTACCTGCTAAATGTGAGTTTGTATGCAAAAACCACCATCCCTCTACTCTTTTGAAAACATAACCAAAATATTATGTATTTTCCCAATGACACGGATTCCAACCATCCGTGGAAAAAGTAACCAAATCCATTAATCTTTCTATAACGTTTCAAACGTGCAACTATACTTCGTCCAACAAAAAGAACTTGGGTAAATAAACAGGATCGATACGTAGGGCTACTGTGAAAGTTATGTATCTAGTAATTATAGTTTTACAATTATATTAATTATAATAAAAATTAGGTTAGATGTATATAGACTACAATTTTATTTCTATGAGCAAATATCGTCATGAGAGTAATTCCAAAATGGACCAATCGGATTCTATGTGGTCTCATAGTTTTGTTGATCCGCGTTTCGTTTATCTAGGCAGACTATAGAAAGTCTTGTAGCAAACTTTGTATCGCTAAAAATCACTAAAATTTATTTTAAATGTCGGGGATTTTACGTTGATGGACAACTTGAGACAATTGGTTACTTTTTGTAGCCCTCCAGTGGCGAGATCGTGAAACTTCGTCGCAAGTTTAACAATATTTATAAACATTAGCGCCAACTTCGCGGATATCATTTTGAATGTTCGTAAACGGTACAATTTAACGTCGGGCGAAGCAACAATTGTATATTTAAACAGGTACGACGATTCGAACAATTTGTTTTTTGGTTTACAGCATTTCGATTGCGATTCAGTAACGTAAAAAGTATTAGGACGCAATTGTTTGGATGATTCCGTTATCGCATAACTGTCAGTGATACTATAACCTGTGTTATCGCAGAACATAGCGAAGGCGCAACATGTGTCGTCTTATCTCGAATTGTTAATAAGTTACGTTCGCAATACATATTCTGGTTGCGCGTTGTGTCGTAGATGTTATTCTTAACGGGGAACGATAAATTTTTGCGCGGAAAGGAAACTAGGCAGACGAAAATAGGTTTACAGACGCGTTCGAAGACTAGGGATAAAAGCTTGAACGCAAACGTTGACGGCGGCGAGTGGCGCGAATCGCCGGCCAAAAGGTTCAATCGCCGAGCCATAGCCAATGGCCGCCGCGAATGAGTGTCTCGTGTCGGCTCCTCGGTGGCCGCTGTGATCGATGTGTTACTACGTGTTTTCGAAGTGTGCTAACTCGCTGGTTAAACTCGATCACGCATAGTTGTTACTCGCGTACGACAGAACAATATGTCGAGCCGGCAGTCGAAAAAAGAAAAGGTGCGTTCATCGTGTTGCATGTTCGCGCGACCCCGTGTCTGGTCTGATCGCATGTCTCTCCTTATGCGATCGGTACACACGTACGCGAAAACGGTGTTCCTTTGCAACGAGGAGAGATCGCGGGCACGCGCGCGCTTCAGAGAAGGAAAGAGAGAGGGAGGGATAAAGAGGGAGACGATGACAGGGATAGTAGGAGAGAAAGGGAAGAAGGGAGGAGAGTAAAGAGAGTTCGGGGAAACAACCCCGGTAGCGGAGACACCGAAGGGTGTAGCGTGATTTCCGATTTCTCGATATCCGTTTCGCTAGCACGTTTTCACGGCCGAACGTTTCGAAGGACCTGACACCATGGTACATCCAATCCACTGATTCTCGTTTCCGTTCGTGACATCGCGCGAGTGGCGAGTTTTGTCGAGCGGACCCCGCGTCTCGAACGTGAATCTCGTGTGCTGTCGTGGCATCGTGCGTTCGTGCAAGCGGTGCAATTTACTCGTTTTGTTCCAGGATGCGACCAAGATCGGCAAGGACAAGGGAAAGAACGGCAAGGATGGCGAGACAGGTGACGAGGTGAGGTTATAACGCCCGTTCTACGTTCCTTTCGACCGACGTGACTCGATTCGATTACGATCCTCGACACACTCCTGTCATCGTTGATATTTCCTATCGTGGCCTCGTCTTTCTGTTTTCATCTTAACGCATTCTAATTGTTTCGCATCATCGACCACCGAGCATTTTCGTCGGTCGTTGCATACTGTCGTCGGGACTTTTGCTCATGATTTATTCTCTCGAGAAGCGATCCGGTGTCCATCTTCGACTGTGTGCTCACCTGAAATGTTTTCCTTCGAGGAGTTATCTATGTATACGCGTGTAGTTCGAAATCTCTTATATGTATACATATATTTTCCGTAATGTAATTTTCTAGCGCGCTTTTTAGACGAGGACCGTTTAACGTATATGTTTCCTTGAAACAATTTTAAAGTTTTCTTTGAAAAAAATGTTACTCGACACAGGTGGCGCTTTAGCGTTGGAACTTAGTTGATAAATAGAAAAACGATGTAAACCGAAAGGATACGAGGAATCAAAGTACAACCAATATTATTTTCTGCCTTTTGTTTCTCGTTGCATTTCTTTTTTTTTTACAAGTATTTGACACTTTACGTTGTTCTTGTTTCAAGTAATTAACGGCTTTTAACGTTAATAGAAATCTTCTGTTTCCTATAACACGGTTCGTGATTGTAATTAATGCGTAATCCATGCGGAATTGAGTCTCGTGCGCGATATGAATGGAACGAACTCTAAGTATGGAATCGCCGCGCAATTATACCGGGTGTCTCTAAATAAATGCTGCGAAACATTGAGAGGATTACGAGAATGCGTATCTTTCATTTTTCAAATGCACAATCTGATAATATCAAGGCAAAATATTTTTCTCCGTTTTCTACGGACGTCCGAAGGTGACTGTGCGTTTTCTTTTTTAGAACGATCTATATTTTTGTTCGATCAACACGGAAGTATAAAATATATATAACGAATTCGATAGACTTGTTTAAAGTCACCTTGAAAAATTTAAAGTTTGAAATTTGCACTTTTGTATTCTGTTTTGTACCGACTCGCCGATAACACAAGTAGTCATTTGTTTTGATGTGTTTATATTGACGCTAAGACGATAAGAGACGGGGCGGACTTTAGCATTTGTAATTAAGCAATTAATTAATTTGCAATTAGTTTTTCTTTGTTAAGCGCCGGTGGGATTTGTAAACTAAAGATAAAGTGACCTTGAGGTCTACCATTTAAAAACTATTTTACGCGGCACTTATTTAGAGACATCCTGTATATGCGCTAACGATATTAATAGATCGTTAAGATTAATGTGTTAGCCGTTGTATGACGAAATAATCTCGATTCGCGTGACTTTTATTATTTGTTATATTCAATGAATTCTTTTCGAAACTTTTTAAACTAAATTGTGTTCTTTATGTTATAATTTATTTAATAATACTTTAAACGCTAGTGCAACGTTAGCAATTACATTCATTTTAAAATTTTAGTGTTTCAAATTACGATATCTTTATAATCCGAAGTAATTGAAGAAAACGCATTATTAGATTAATGCGCAACGAGTGATACACGATTTAAGTTTAATATGTATAGTATAATTATAACGGTTTAAAGGAATCGGGTGTTCTATAAAGTTGATGATTAATTGTATAAAATGAGAAACAAAGCTTAATTAGAATTCGAAACTGATTTGAAATATAGCGTGCACGTATAACACCACATAGTGCGTTATATAGGAAATCTGTAGCGTGTTTGCATTTATTTATCGATCGCTGATAACGCAGAAGATTGATGAACAATTTACGATTGATTATATAAAAATATAAACAATTATCGTATGTTAAAGTTGATAAATTTGATCCAAGTATTCGATGGATAGATTTATGTTTTTCATTTTTTAATTTTATAGTTATTCTGTACATATCGAAATAAATTTTGGTTGTTAATTAGTTATTTAAAGACGATGTAGAAATCGGTAAATATTACTGTCAACACAGAATTGCATAATCGCTTACTATATAGGCACGCAAAGTATACATACATATATGTATATCCGTAGTACCACTGTATGTTAACGAATTTTTTATCGAATTTGTGTACATTATTAAATTTTAGCCAAGTCAATTCACTCGAGTTATTTTATCCTTGTTAATAGCTATGCAGACAAAGTAGAAATTTATAAGAGAATAATGAAGTAGTGAGTACAAAATGTATATATGCATGTATTTACAAGAATATTCAAGCAATCACAAAAATATCTTATAGAAATATGTGCAAAGCGATGATATAGTTAAAGAAAAGATTAAAATAAAAATCATATACGTCGTACCAAAATTCATCTTTTACAAACAACAAAGAATACTTACAACTTATTGTTGCGCGACACAATTCCCCAAGGGCTACACTATCAGCTAGGTTCCTCGAGAAGAAGTTTTGTGATTGGTGTTGAAGTCATTCTTGCGCATCTGTATCACTGTTTTCATTTGACAAAAAAATGTGGGTATTTTTTAGTGTGCCAGAATGAAGTAGACCCAAAAGACTAATGTAAAAGTGTTACTATTTCCTGTACATTTGCAAAGCATATCTTCAAGTAACTATCATCTTTTTTGGCCACTAGAAGATGCTCTAAAAGGACATCACCTCAGATGAAGGGTCAAGATCAACGGTGCATAAATGGCTTCAAGATCAGCTACAAAACTTCTCTCGAGGAAACCAGGCATTAATGCATCGTTGGAAGAATTGTGTCGAATGTAATAAAGATTACATATAGATTGGCATACACATTTGCTTTTAAAAGACAACTTTTTTTTTTTTAAACATTTTTTAATTCTGTGTGGATTTAGTGGAAATGCGTTTAAAGCAAAACCTTTCCAATTAGTAATCTTTCTGTGTGGTGTGAATATAATACCGATGTAGAAACTTTGCTGTATTCAAAGGAAAACTAATGATGTTTACTTTAGTACAATGTACGTAAAGAATATGAACTATCGAAGCAAGTAAAAGTCCCAGCAGAGTGGTTTGATAGTCATTTCCATAAAGTTGTACAACATAATTTCATTGTTCAGACAGAGTTTGATAATGTAGGTTGTTCGAACAGGATTTTCTTCTCTACCGTTTCGTGTATGCTGTTTTCATGCATGTATTGTGTTAGGGATTTCACTGGACACGATAAGTTTGATCGATATTGTATATCTTTGACTCTAAAAAGTTTCCAATAAAATATTTTGTGTTTTTAGGCTCTTTATGGTATTATAGAATTATTTCTATTATTTTATAGGCCAACAAGGTAGCAGGAGGACCACCTGCGACCAATGCACCACCACCGCCTACGTTGATCAACAAGATCAAATATCAACCTGGCGGTCCTGTGATAAAAAAGGATAAACGGCAAAGTAGCTCAAGATTCAACATTTCGAAAAATCGGGAGCTTCAAAAACTGCCGCTTTTGTCTGGTAAGTTGTTGAAATAATCTCTTACGCATGAAAACCGATAAACAATTTATTTTACCGATGTCGTCGAATAAAAAAAAAAGAAGTATGGAAAGGGGTGTGAAGTATGCGGTAATTTTTGTCATTATTTTTATTTACCATCTTTTAATTAGCAATAATTATAGAACTTTAAAGTTGGCAACGGTGTATGTATCCGTTAAGCCTTAAAGCTGTACCTAAAAATATAGTATATGTATTGTCCATAGTTAAAAATATTGAAATACCTAAGGGAAAAAGTTTTTCCAATAAATTATCATGGAAGAATGTATACTAGTAGTGTTAATAATTTAATTAAGCCGTGGCAATGATTTTAATCAATTACAAAAGTTCGTTTCTATGCTGATCAATAATTGTACAATTTCGTAGAAAGTATTTCTTTGTATGATAAATTCATCAGCAGTTATAATAACTTTAACATCCACAGAGTAAACTTTGCTTTCTTCTGCAATGATTGTCACATAACGATTGATTAGTGTAACAGTTTACCAAAGTAGGAGCAATAAACCTCGTCATTATCCTCGCCAAGAATAAACCGCAATATACTTAATGAGCGCAGGGAGGGTAGATTCGAGTAGTTACCTACCGTTGCTTTATGTAAGCGAGAGTGTAGCACATTCTGTTGTTTCGATAATTATCCATTTTGTTTAATCGTTTGGTTTCGTTACGTGTATGCATCGTCGCAGAAAACTTGGAAACGGTATTTCTTCTTTTATGACGAACGAATAACGATTAAATTCATTAGAATAGAATGTTCTTTCTGTGTCACCGAAAGCTTTTAATACATTCTTGTATAAACTTGCCGATCTCGTGACAAGAAATGTAAGGGTCATTAAACCCCGCCATGCAAATTGGTTTTCATTAAAATGTTTTTATTATACGCACGAAGCTCATATTAATGTTCCCGTTTCGATTTTAAATTTCCTTGAACTATATATACTATGCCCTCCAGGGAACTAGAGTTCAGGGGGTTTAAAAAAGCTTTTCACGAGACAGTTTTGATTTATCGATATATCTGAAGCGATATACGGGCCTGACCTATATTTTGACGGTTAACGAACGACGTCTGTTTTTTCTATCATGCATTAAATTTTCGATCGTTTATTAAAACGTGACGGTCAATGTATAAACTTAGTTTCATCGTTTGTATCGTTAAACAATTATTTATTTTTCAAGTATAAAGTCTAATAATTATCGATCGAATTAAGAACTTTTTATCCAAGAGATACAAGTTTGCGAACAATGTCTCTGGGGGGCAGCACGTAAACGATCCTAATATCGATTGGAAATCTACGAACATTTTCACCCTTTATCGACATGTTAAATATTTGTTTAATAAAACTAAGACAGTTTGTTGAAAACATTTATGCCTGGTCGACTCGAAATAGTCAACGTTTAAGTAAATTTATTGTTATAGAAATTACAATACCGGTACTTTTTTTAACGTACTTGAAATCGCAAATTCTTAATATGCTGCTACATTAAATATTGCTAAATGCTATGGAAATTGGGAAAACGTAAAATTGCTGTATTGTGTCCACGTTCGGGCGTCAATTTATTGATATTATTTTAAGGGGGGCGAAATAATTAGTTAGTTTTGCCTTTTCAATTCCGGTCACTCATGATTGCGAAAGTAGCTACGTCAGAGCGTATCGATTGTAAGGCGCGGTGGTGGTTCACGCATGCGCGCTCTCGTCGTTCGCGATTCCTAGTTTTCTAACGTAAACAGTTCTTCCTCGTTCAAACGGTCCTTGATATCGGCGGCATTTTCCTAATTTGAATTGCACGGACTTTTCTCGTATCTCGTGCGCGTGTTCAGCGACGAATACGCGCATAAATCGCCGCGCGGCTCGTATTACCGCAGGAATTAAGATATGCGTAGTTTTTGTACGAAAGAACGGTCAGTTACGTCGAAGCAACAGATTGTTATGTGAGCAAGGAAGCCGGTGCGTATAGGGGTGCCACACGCGCTTTAATTTACCGTATGCGGTCCGGGAAAAGGAGCATACATTCGGCGATAATATCGAGATACGTAAACGGGGCGAGCTGCTGGAATACACGATGGTTCACGTGGATGGATATCCGTTTACGTCTGGTTGTCTGCCGAAAAGTCCGAGCTTCCATCAGGGGCTTGCCCTGGCCACCGTGCTTTCGCGTGAATCGAATAAATCCTACTTGACCAACTTCACTTCGCATTATCAACCGTTACGACCCCTATTAATCGGTAAAGAAACTTTTCAAGTTTGTCTCCTGTCTTGAATCCTATAGAAATAGTTTGTAAATATGTGCGAATACCAAAGTCGGGGGCGAGGGCGGGGGGGGGAAGTGTGTTTGTGGAAAATGTGTGTGAGAGAGCCGGCAATAACGCGAGGCGAGGTGTGTGAGAGAGATGAAGACAATATATGCAAGCGTACAACATCGAAAGAGTTCGTGGAAGAGTCCAAGAGGGACATATAAACTATCTACGAAAAAATCGAAACTATGAAAATTGCGGGGGAATGGAAGATTTCGTGAAAATGTTTAAAAGAATAGGGGAAAGAGTCCATGAGGGAGACAACAGCGTGGAAGAAGGTGGGAGTCGAAAAGACAAGAAACAAAACAGTCCATGATAGAGTGTGCGGGGTGGGGGTGGGGGAGCATCTATGAGAGAAAGTCCAAGGGAGTAAGAATATATTAGCGAAAGAGAGATAGAAGAGGGAGGGGGAACGAGAATCCTTGTCCATGTGGGAGTGATGAAAGAGAGTGAGAGGCGCGCGCGCATATATGAATGATGTGTATAAGTGCATTTGTGTTAAGTATGATCTATGTGCAATTACGACGAGTGTTACGGTGTGTGTACATTTTTTTGCGTTAAGTGGTTGTACGTATGCATTTGTTAAGAAAAATTGTGTGTGTTTGCGCATAAAGTGGAATGTTTGTGTATCTCTCTGTGTGTTTGTGCGTCAATGGTGTGTGTTGAGTGTAATGTGGGATGTTTGTGTATCTGTATTGTGTATCAAGTGGAACGTTACGTTTGCGTCAAGTGTATTTGTAAAGTGAAAATTGTGTGTGTATGTTTATGTATAGTTACACGTACGTATATTTTTGTGCGTTTGACTCGCAACCGTGATGTGCCTCCCGTTCATACAAGTATCTCGGTTTTTCCAATTCTTATTACAGAAACGCAACAAGGGAACGATAGGGAGGAACTTTTTATACAGAAGCTGCGGCAGTGCTGTGTACTTTTCGATTTTGAGTCTGATCCACTGTCGGACTTAAAATGGAAGGAAGTGAAGCGTACCGCTCTTCACGAGATGGTCGAATACGTTACCAAGAACAAAAACGTTATTACGGAGGCAATATACCCTGAAGCTGTGAACATGGTAAGCGTAGAAGCGCTTTAAGTGGGTATTCTCATTTGACCGGTAAACAGAAATCGATATTCTTTCTAACAACATTTTCGTAAAGTTCGATCTTTTGAAAATGTGTTCCTAAAGTATTGTATCGGATTTTAAAGGGATAACGAAATTGCAGCGATTTGAATAGAGCGGTGCATCGCTAGAAACGCGACTAAGAATCCAGGCGCTTAAGGGTTCACGGCCAACAAAAATATTCAAACGCAGATGGAAAAGTTTATAATATTTTCCGGCCAATACACGAAGATATGTTGTATATGTACGTAAAATAATAATAAAGATTTTTAATTTCGTTGATAGTTTCTGGTAGACCTCCATTTTTCCGGTCATCTTTAATTATACAGAAATGTACGAACAATTATGTAAAACAAGAACCAATGCGGACCAAATCGAAAGGGGTTTCGTACATCTGAAAAAAACGACGTTTCGAATGAGAATACGCCCTTAATCGGTTCTAACAACGACGAAGGGGAATGATTTTTAACGATGTGAAACTTGTCAAGTTCGCAGTGAATCTTTTTCGTACGCTTCCTCCGTCATCGAATCCAAACGGTGCCGAGTTCGACCCGGAAGAGGATGAGCCGACCTTGGAAGCAGCCTGGCCTCACCTGCAATTGGTTTACGAATTCTTTCTCCGACTGTTGGAGTCCCAAGACTTTCAGCCGACCGTCGCGAGACGTTACATAGACCAGAAGTTCGTGTTGCAGCTTTTGGAATTGTTCGATTCGGAGGATCCGCGCGAGAGGGATTTCCTAAAGACAACGCTTCATAGGATTTATGGAAAGTTCTTGGGCCTCAGGGCGTATATAAGGAAGCAAATAAACAATGTTTTTTATCGATTTATATACGAGACCGAGCACCATAATGGTATCGCTGAACTTTTAGAGATTTTGGGAAGGTAGCTTTTTGCTTGTTTATCGTAAAACAACGAAAGAAACCACCAGTGCTCTGGGATTCATCGATCTCACTGTTCTTCCAGTATAATCAACGGATTTGCTTTGCCACTGAAGGAGGAGCATAAAATTTTTCTACTGAAGGTACTTTCACCTTTGCATAAAGCCAAATCGCTGTCCGTCTATCATCCGCAGTTAGCGTACTGTGTCGTGCAATTTTTGGAGAAAGATCCGTCGCTCACCGAACCGGTTATCAAGAGTTTGTTGAAATTTTGGCCAAAAACACATTCCCCGAAAGAAGTGATGTTCCTGAACGAACTCGAAGAAATCTTGGACGTGATCGAGCCCGCTGAGTTTCAAAAAGTTATGGATCCACTGTTTAGACAATTAGCTAAATGCGTTTCGTCTCCGCATTTTCAGGTATATATAACGTGGCTGTTTTAGAAATATAACTCGAGATTCTATCGTATCGTGTGTTATGTACTTAGGTGGCTGAACGAGCTCTCTATTATTGGAACAACGAATACATAATGTCTCTGGTATCCGATAACTATTTAGTCATTCTACCCATCGTGTATCCAGCGTTCTACAAGAATTCACGAAATCATTGGAACAAAACTATTCACGGTTTGATTTATAATGCGTTAAAGCTATTCATGGAGATGAATCATAAAGTGTTCGACGATTACACTCAACAGTATTTTCAGGTACGTTATTCCCCGTTGGACGACGGAAAAACGAGTAGACTATTATTTGTATAATACTTATTGGGATATTTTTCAGGATCGTCAAAGAGAGAGGCAGCTCATAAAAGATAGGGACGAAGCGTGGATGCGAGTAGAAGCTTTAGCGATGAGACATCCGTGTTATGCCATGACCGTACAAGGTTCAACGAATACCATTACATCTATCACGATATCACAGCAACAATTAGATAGCCCTCCACCCGACGAAGACGGCGAAACGGATCAAACGCCACTTACTTTAGAAAAGATAGAGGCAAAGGCAAACGAGGTACGACATTGACTGCATCCGAGTTCTGTAGTAAGAAGAAAATCAGTTGGCTGCTCGAGGCTACGTACTCCCTACGGTGAATCGTGCTTGGTGTGATCATGGACCCCCAGAGATCGAGAAAGGTTCGGGTTATTTACTTTTCAGAGCATGTGTAATAATATTTTTTGTATAATCAGCAATATTATTGCGTTTCGTCTCGGATCTACTGATTGGAGCAGGCTAGTGAATCTTGGTCGCGATGCTATTAATCGTTCGAACAGTTTCTCTCCAGTCACTCGAGCTTGTTAGTTACATAATCCGCATAAACAGGCCGTTTAAACGACTAATAGCGTCGCGTTTAAAGCAGGATCTGCTGCGTAAGAGATGAAACGCGGTTACGTTGCTCTTTTACGAGAGCGTAAAATTATGGCAACTATCTTTTTTCGTATAAATTTTGAGGCCCCTGTACGAGTTGGATCCAGGGCTAGGAACGTTATACCGGGGATAGATACTAGAGAGGTCTCGAGCGATCATCTGGTTTTCTTGATGCTAATTAATTTGTTATTTATAAAGCGACGTTCTTCGCGACAGGCAAAGAAGATGACGATCATCAATAAAACTAAGCCACTTTTGCGAAGAAAAAGCGACTTACCCCAAGACACGCACACAATGCGGGCATTGTCCGATCACAAACGCGCCGACGAGTACCTCGTTACGCCACCGGATTCCAATAATTGCTAGTCTCTACCGCAATCTCTTCCCATGTATCCTCTCTTCTGCTGCAGTGATATTGGGAGTTAGCTTTTTTTTTTGAGGGAAAACAAACACTGCGATGATCCGATCTAACAGTGTTTTATCGTATTAGAGGCCAACAATGTCGTAATCCCCCTTATATCAAAACTGTCGAGATGTATGTAATTGTCTCTTTTTCATTATGGTAACGAAAAAAAACTAAGAAAAAACGGAAGGAAAGCTTTCTCTCATCGCATCCCAGCACTTTTCGGAAGACGTGCCCGTAGTTATTTACGACAAACAAGAAAGGTAAAAAAACTGATAACTCCCTATATACTCTTCGAGTTGATTTATATAAGGTATAGCGAGAATTATGCAAATATTAAGTACTCGCTGTTAAAAATCATGAAATGTGAAAAAACCTAGCGAATAAGGGTCCTAAATATGTATGCATATACAGAGTATTTTATAAACTGTAGATTTCTTGCGTATGAGGTGATCTATCGCTGACAATAAGACAGTTTTACGTATATAAGCACGCCTTCGCCTTCCTCGATTCGATTATGAATTAAACGCGAACCATTTCGAGCATATTTATTCGTATAAGGGAGATTCGGTGTACATGGTCGATAGGCACCGTTGAAACTGTACGATTCTCTGGGAATTCATTTGTCGACGATCGTTTTAGGTTGTCTTACTTTTAGCGCGAGATTGTCTGCATATTATAGAAATTTATGCTTTATCGAACACCCTATATATATACTCTAAATAAACAAATTTTATACGAATGCGAAAGAGGTCAGAAAAGAATGGACGCTTGCTTGATGTTGTAATAATAATAATAAAAAACAAAAACAAAAGAATTTTAGTATGCAAGTTTGAGGCGCTACTCTTCTGAGCGAGTTTCCACTAATGCGCAACAAAAATAAAAAAAAAAAAAAACGACAGACATTAAGTAACAAGTGATATATAGTTGCTTCAACGCTACCAGCTCATAATTTAGCGGCAAAAAAAGAGCGAGAAAAAAAAAATACAGAAAAATGGAAAAAAGACAGAAATGAAACGTCGTTTTTAGAGTTAGATGAACGTGATAGCACTATTTTAGAATATCGATTGTTATGAATCTGAATATTCCTGAACGTACTACTTTTATATCTGTCGTGCCTAGATGCCTGTGGAACGCATTCGCAAGAATCGCCTCTGCCAGAGGCCTATAATTAAGAATCGTTAACAAGATTAAACAAAAAAAAAAAAAAAAAAATACACACACACACACACACCGAAAGCAACGAGTTATAAACGTGACGTTACCGAACGGTATAATCGACATCACGAATTTTTCTGGGAACGCTTGCATGAACGTTGCGTCGTTGCCTCGTCAGTTTTGCGATTAATCGAAGAAAAAAAAAAAAAAAGAAGTTATAATACTGTTTTGTCGCTGACAAAAACGAAGAGTAAAAAATGATAAAACAAAAAAAAACGAAGAATAGTATACAAATGAAGTTGAAAAAAACGCAAATCTAAGTAAAAACTACCTTTAGTCTTTTGCGCTGCTGGCAGGCTGTTATGTTAAACATTGTGTAAGGGATGAACTTGTTGAGAATAGATAAACGATTAGCACTTATTATTAAATAACGGAAATTAAAACCAAATGAGATAAATATAAAAAAAAAAAAAAATTATTTACTATTTAATCGTCCCTTCAGAAGGAGAATGGCTGTTTTTGTTACGAAAAACCATTAATGATATGAGCATTCTTGTCGATAATAATTTTTATTATCAAGCGTGGTGTAATCTCGATGATGCTCGTTAATCGGAACTTGTAATTAGAAGATTTTTCGTACGGAACAGTATTACTGTATATTAAGTAAGAAGTATTCGATAATAAAAGTATTTTGAGTAAAACTTTTTATTCGACTAAGTTACCATTATCGTTTAAAAGTTTTGTCCATCGCTGTAATTTTACTAGATTTAATCGCGCGTCATCGGGATTACATTGCATCCTTCGATCGTTGAAGTCAATCGAAAAAAAAATACATAGATAATAATGTTCGAGAGAAGCGTCTCTCCAATAATGCATGTTTCGAGGTATCGTCTCTTACTACGTCTATTCTTTCACACGTATCATGTAAGATATATTTTTGGAGTTTGTAAATTAACACGGTAGTCGGGGGGACACTGTATCAAACTTTTCGCGCTTGAAACTTCTGAAGACAGTTACTGGCTTAACGTTGGACAAGTATTATCATTAGATTTCCGTTTCTGCATCACGCCAGAGGCTTAGAACGAAAACGAAGTAAGGAAATGGAAAATTTGCTTTCGTTTCTATGCATGTCATTTTCTTGTAACACCATATAGGTTATCTCGAATGAGTTTGATCATTCGTTTTAATCGATGTTTTGTACGTTTTTTATGACGACAGAAGGAAATCAACCAACAATCGAATACCATACTTCTTAGATGAAATTTAAACGAGTAGCAATTGAACAATGTTTTATGTAAGGGGGAGCAAGGATCGCGATAGAAGAAAAATTACTAGGCAGCTTGAAATTCGTAGAAGTGTCTCTCTGTTCTTCCTTACGTAAAATTCACGAACCGTTCGAGATCAGAGTTCGTTAGATGAAGAAAACTGTTAATGAATTGTTCACGTGTACAGTGATTTCGCTTCGAACCTAGAATTATCAATTAACGAAGAACGGATACAGAGCTGTGTATCCACATTCGATTGCAGGAAATTTTTTTAAAGATCGTCTGTCAGATCGATTCGATTCCATGCATGCATATATTCCATTACAATTTGTTGGAAGCATAATTTTATAATAAATAAATAATTATAACGAACCGAGAAAGTCTTGACCCTTACCTTAATCGAAATGGAGACCTACTCATACGTTAGAGGTTACTTTTTCATTTTTATTTCGAAATACTAACAATATTATAATAAGAAATATTTTTTTTTTGATTATAGGAATTATTTCTTTCGATACAATTGCTACCATCCTGCATCCTTGTTGCTACTTTTCCCGCATATTACCTCCTATCTCCGATTATACGAATTGGCGCGAAAACTACGGTCATTGCTAACCTCCAACGTCACGGTATGTATAATTCTTTTTACTTGTTCGTTGCATAGATCAAACGTTAGATGTCGACATTGACATTTTCTTGTTTTCTTGATCAATCAGTGATCTACAGTCGAGCATAACCGATCGTTGACAAATTACCATGCCACGTAATGACAAATTATTAATGATTCATTGTTGAATCACCAGAGACAAAATATACGAGTTTCACCTTTCACCTTATGGACTTTCGTGGCCCAATCTGACTGCCATACCGACATGAAAATTCGGAGGTGATTTTAGCGGCCTCTTCTCATGGATGGCGGTCAGTTGAGGAACTCAATGAATTAGTGTGATAGACAGCAGCTAGTGCGTGTAAATGCATACCAGTTAAAAAGTACGAATTATTCGCGATTCCTTGACTGGTTAAAGTTGTAAATAATTTGCTAAAATCACTCTATCCGCGGTGTCCATCTCAGGCGTCGGTCGGGTTCGTAATGCAAGCTTCGGGAGACATCGGAGCTGCCCCCACTCCGCCGCCTAATTCGCGAGCATTGCCGAGCACAGCGAGCGCGGCCATCATTCGTACTTGGACGTCAAGACGTAACAGCGTTCCGCGGTCGAGGTGCGTATTTCTAACCTGTTGATCGTTCCACTATTACTACTCGCGTTTTAATTACGATCTCTTGTAATACGGTTTCGATTTAATCATTACTTAATTATAATAATCATTCGTGTACTTTAATGCATCGTTATTTCGTTTCTGTTACAGTCTCTTATTGGAATTCGAAATTGAGAAATAAATAAGACTTGTTGAAACCTGTCACGACGTGTCGACGGTTCGCGACCAACGAAGTACGTATTTCTAACCTTTTGCTATTTCCTCATTCTAATCAATTATTGTTTAATTCTGATTTAATTTGTATTTTATTTCTGTTGCAGTCTCTGATTGAAATTCGACGCCATGGAAACTTTTATTGGCGCGTAAAGGACCCCATAACAGATGGCAGACGAGTCGGCAAATTTTGGTGGGAATATTGGTAACTTCTAAACAATTATAACGAAAATTAACACCCATATTAATATTTATATATTTTTATTTCATTATTAAATCATTCGTTGCAAGCATGATCTTAATTTTGTAATCGGCCATTGTTAAGATAAATTATGAAAATCTTTGACTTTTTCTCCACTTCGATATACATATATCGAAGTATACAGAAATGGCGTCGGTAGATATCGACGATAAATTGAAATAGTTTATATTTAACTGTATTCTGATCGCGATTGAATATTTCCGAGTGTTATTTATTTAATTGATCGTTTATATTTCTTTATGAATCGTTGTAATTGCAATTTGCATATATATTTCGATGCAAGTTTAAGAAAACGTAGAAACCACGTAGTTGGAATATGCTATTGAAGCATAAATAATTAACGAACTTTAATTTTTGCAAATTTTGGAATATTTATAAAAATTACCGGATATTTTCACATTCGATAAAGTAAACATAATCATGCTTACAACTCTAACTATGAAATTTAGTGATATAATATTTATAAATTGAATAATTACTTGTACGTAATTATTTTCGTAGATAATATTTTATCGTTGAAATTCTCATCGATCGAGAATATTTCGCCTTCGTGGCATTGAATTTTTACGTGACAAACTATGTATACAACAGTACTAAGTAAAGCAGTGTTTCTGTTGACGAACTCTTGTAAGAAGAAGAAAGAAAATCGATAGGCAAAGCACAGATGTGCTTGTTGTGTTTCTTGTCTCCTGTCCCTTTCTTTTCAGCTCTTTTCTTTCCAGGAAATTTGTTGGCCGCGCGCAATGCGGCCGGTAGATTCAGTGATCGAGCGTAGCAAACAAGTTTGTTTCTCGGGGCAAAGTGACCCCGAGCACGTTGTCGTTCACGGTGTTAGGCAAACGCGAGATAGAAGCAGTGTTTCTTACGCGGTATTAAATTATTTACAGAGCATCGCGGCTCTCCTTGTTTTTTGAATCGCGATAATAGAATCATTTGTTCGCCGATTTCAACCTTCGGTCGCGGTAATCTAATTTAATATTTTCCAATCAAATTAATTATTTTTTCAATTTGAAATTTAAACTCCTCGTTACCGGAATTAGAGTCAGTGCATCACCGAAGAGGACTATTAGCCGATGCTCCACGAGCAAACAATGTAAGTATAAATTTATACTTTGAAATTTGTTAATTAAAAATCTCTACAGTTTTGACAATAGATTCTAATTGTTTTCTTACAGTTTTCTTACAGTTTCTGTACATGATCCTGGGAACCAGTAGCAGCACTCGGGGAGTATCGGGCGGTGGACCACGAGCGAACAACGTAAGTATAAATTTATACTTTGAAATTTGTTAATTAAAAATCTCTATAATTTTAACAATAGATTATAATTTCTTTCTTATTCTTTATAGCAGGAGCATGCAGGGTGCTTTGATGACTTCCACCGGGCAGCAGCAGCATCATCATGCAGTCATCCCAGAGGTACAAGTTCATCACTGGTGAGTCGCATGCTATTTGTGTTCCTCTGGTCCCCAACCATGTTGTAGGATGAAAGATCCGAATCAACACGGGTGACCAGTTGTATACTTAGTATTTTTGACGAGTTAAGTGACCGCGGGTATGAAAAATACCCGTGAGTAGTAACATCAACTGTTATATTTTTTAGAGCAGGTTTTAGGGCCTTCTTGCACTCGGGTTTCTTAATGTTACAAATGAATATTACACATTATGATTTTTATTAACTTTATACGAGTTATACGATTGAATAGAAAATGAATTAATATAATGTGAAAACACATTGTACAATAGTATTTAACGTGCAAGAAGGCATTTCGCGACAGGTCGATTCTTGAGTCAAAGTAACATGCATTTTATACTAGTTTCATCTTTTAAAAAATTTACTTTGACGACAGAATCGACCGAGGATAATTGAATATTTTGAATAACAATTTCATGAATTCATTTCAATTTTTAAAGTACATTATTTTATCATGAGATTTTTATTAAAGTCTTTCATTTTGAATAATTAAATTTCAATTATAATATTTTTTTTGAATAATAGTATTCTTCGATATTAACGTATTTTATTATTGATATATTACATGTAGCAAGTCGAGTCATTTTAACTAGAAATTAAATACGAAATACGATTTAGCTATTAACCAGATTTTCTAGTCAGGATTTTCAGGCTAATTTTTCCGTGTTCGTTGCCTAAGTTCATGCACATGCTCAGGTGCTATTTGCATGAGCGAAGGCAACGGGGCACGATGACTTTATTTATAATAATACGACATATTGGCGACTGACATGGGTTAGTGAATCGTGCGCGACGTACTGTCCACATGTGTGTGTGTGGTTAGGTAGTGGAAGT